CGCGGGATCGGGCAGTGTTTCGTTCTGCTGTGCATGGGGTCGCTATGAGTCGGAAACGACTTGACGGCACTTAACAACAACAACATAGAAGGTTTTAGACCAGAGGAGCATAGTCAGAGCTGAAGCCAGAACTGGAGGAATGGAAGCCAGGGACCTAGGAGGTGGCTGGGGCAGGGTCCCAGACGGGAGAGGACGGAGCCTGAATCAGGGCAGAGGCAGAGGGGATGGGGTGGAGAGATTCAGGGGGCACAGAGCACAGAATATGGGCACTGAAGCAGCTCTGGTGGTGCAGTGGGTAAGGCAGTTAGCTGCTAACTAGGAGGTTGGAATTTCAATCCCACCAGCTAGCTGCTCTGCAGGAGGAAGATGAGGCAATCTACTTCCATAAGGATTTATAGCCTTGGAAACTCAGTGGGGGTTGCTGTAAGGCCAAATTGACACTGATGGGAGTGAGTTTGGGTTTGGGGTTTTTTTGAATGGGCTGTGGGAGGAAGGGGGGGGGTATTCAGGGTAAGATCCAGAACTCTGGGGCACTGAGGACAATGGACCATTACTGAGATAAGGACAGGAAGGAGCAGGATGGCGGTGGGGGTGTATGTGTGACTCCTGTTTTGCCAGAGATGAACCTGGGGCCTGTGGGCTGGTTGGGGGGGACTGGACTGAGGTGGTGGGTCTGGGCCTGCAGGGAGAGACCTGGGTCACACCCCCTTCTCCCATCTCTGGCCCTGACTCAGAAGTCACTTGTCAGGTGAATGAGGGCCTCAGGCAAGTGTTGTCCTGTGCTTATCCCCTCAGGAAACTGCCTTTTTGTGTCCCTGGATCTCTGCCTTTCCCGCTTATCCCTTTCTGGTAGCATTAAAACATGGTCCATCATCTCTAACCACACACACACACACACACACACACACACACACCACTCCCTGCATGGAGCTTCCCTAAATTCTCTCATCTCCTTTACATCCACTGGCTCCACCCCTCACCTCCCACTCCCTCAACCCAGTGAGGTCTGGCTGCCCACCCCAATGACCCTCCACCCACCTGAAACCCACATTGACCGCACAACTCCCTTTACCTTGTACCCACCTTTCTCCTGGCTAGCGTCTTCTCTCTCCAGCTGCTCCTCACAATCCTCCAGGGCTCACCTTCCACTGCCCACCCCTTACTGGGTCCTTGGAGCTCTGGCTCAGCTCTCTGCTCGTCCCACCTGCCCATGCTCCCTGGGAAGGTTCTAGTTCCTCGGCTGCAGCAGGAGTAAGCGCCCAGACCACTCTCCTGCCTCCCGGCCGTCCCACTGGATTATGTCATAAAGACCTTTTGGCTCCTTGCTCTCTTGTAGCTCTCTCCCAGCCCTCGCTTATTAAAGTCCCACTCATTCAACCTCAAACAATGGCTCCGAGACCTGCCCCACCCCAACCGCCTGTCCTTAGGGCCTCTGCCTCAGCTCAAAAACCAAACTCTCTGCCATCGAATCAATTCCAACTCGTAGTGACCACCACTGGATTTCCGAGGCAGTAAATCTCTACGGAAGTAGATTGCCCAGTCTTCCTTCCGCGGAGCAGCTGGTGGGTTTGAACCGCCAGCCTTCGGGCTAGCAGTCAAGTGCCTTAGGCACTGCACCACCACAGCTCCGTCTGCTGTAGCCTCCTCCTTTGCCCCTATAGCACCAGTCTCAGCCTTTCCACCCACCCTCCGAAGTCTTAACAGGCTCTTTCACTGCCCCAGCTGACACTGACCCTCCCCTGCTCAGAACAACAGCCCTCCTCGCTCTAGTTCCAGTTCAGATGGCCTTCCAGGCCCTGTAGGATCTGCCCCTGCTGACCTCTGCTGACCGCACCAGGCCCCCCAGGCCTCTCCCTACTTTGCACCTGAACTTCTGGCCAGGCAGAGGTGGCCATCACTGTCTGCTGGCTCCCTTTACTTTGCATGCTGCCTCTGCCTAGAGGCCTGTGCTCAGCCTTCAGAGTCAGGCTTGATGGCCTCCCCTGTGAAGCCTTCCTCGACTGCTGAAGATGGAGCTCAGGGGCTGGGACAGCCTGTTTGCGTCTCTTGTCCTCCACTCCCAAACCCAAGATCACCTCTGTTCCAGACCTGGGGCCTTTAAGGGGTGAGGCCTCAGAGTGCTGGCTAGGGATCAAGTGACTATCCTAGTTGGGCAGGGCTCGTGCTTCCAGAAGTCTCTGGGCAGAGCAAAGGGTTTGCGCTGGACTGCCAAAGGCTGGCCACCGGCACCAGTCCGTGGTGCTGTGGGGGATAGCCCTGGAGATCTGCGTCCTTAGAGACTGTAGCCTAGGAGATCCCATGGCGTTGTCTCTAATACTGGGGTCACCATGAGTTGGAATTGACTCCAGTGCAGTGGGTTTGGTTTTGTGCTTCCAGCCTTTTGGGTGACCAGTTTGTTTTCGGTTTCCTGCTAGCGTTGGTCTGGTTCGTTTGGGTCACTGGAACATTTAGGACTTAAGACATGGGTTTTCTTTCCCTGGTGGGTGCTGGGCTGGGTTTATAAAGGGGAGTAGCCTTCCCTGGGACTAGGGAGATACGCTCTTACTGAGGGACCTCAAGGGGGTGGACCGTAGCCGCTGAGGGCGAGGTGTATCTGTGTTCGCCCAGGAATCCAGGCTCGCAGACGCCCTCCCCGGAACCCGGAAGTCCATGTCCCCAGGTTTCTCGGTTCTCAGTAACTTGAGTCCGATGCTGCCCCCTGGTGACACCCCACCTGGCGTGCGCGAGGCCAAACTAGTTAAATACCTTTTATTTACAAAAAACAAACACACGAAGAAACTAACCAACCAACCGGCCGACGAGGGCGGGCCAGGCCCCGCCCCTGTGGCGGTTGCAGCAGCTGAAGGCAGTGATGGAGTGAAGGTCCAGCTCTCCCGGTGACTGGTGTGTACGCGCGCCCGCCCCACCCAGGCCGGGGTTGCAGCCTGCATCCCCGACTCGCACCCCGTCCCGTTCCCAATGTAAGGCACAGCCCGCCCTCTCCTGCCGTGCCCTGGGGTCCGGGAGCCCCTCGACTAGGGTTCCCACGGCCCGACCCGGGGAGCACTCATCACGGAGGCTGGCGCAGATGGGAACAAGAGGCCTTTAGTGTCGCCCCTCCCGGCCCTATCTGCCCGGTTCAGGCCGGTGGCGTGCGCGGCGGCGTGGCGGGTGCGGACGGGCGCTCCAGGCTCCGGTGGCGCGCGGGCGCCGCAGTGCTGGGCGGGGTGAGGATGAGGCGGATGCGCTCGACGCACAGCGCCGCCGCCTGCCGCGTTTCGCGGCACAGCGGGGCCAGGCTCAGGAAGCCGTGCGGCAGGTCCTCCACCACGCGCAGCGTCACGGGCTGGCCCAGGCCGCGCAGCCGCCGCGCGAACATGACCGAGTCGTCCAGCATGGGGTCCAGCGCGCACGCCTGCGGAACGGGGGTGGGGTGGTGGTGAAGAGGCCGACCCGCAGACCCGGATCCGGACCCACCGACGGGGAGTGGATGAAGGGAGGGCGACACACGTGGGTGTGGGCGTGGACAGAGGCAGGAGACACACGGGAGGCGGAGATTGGGGAGAGAACGGAGGCAACAGGTGAAAGTGTGGGAAAAAAGAGTGGGTTTAACCGGGGCCTGCAGGCCAGGCCTCTGCCCAGCCCTCTCTTCCCAGAGACCCCCTCTCTTTCTCTCTCCTACTGTCCAAGCCCAGCGGCTGTCCACAAACCCCGCGTCTAGGCTCATTAAGATTGCAGGAAAAAAAACCCCAGTCCCTTCCACTTCCGGACAGTGTCCCTTCCTGGCGCACACCTCTCCTTTGGGTCAGAGCTGGCGCCAGGTGCACGGCTCCCTCCTGCCCCGCCCCCACGCCTTGTGCCCTCCGGCACTCACCACGATGTGCACGGGTGGCAGGGTCTGTAGCATGCTGTCCGGGGCCAGCAGCGGCGACATGAAGGGGTTCTTGACGATGGGTGACGAGTAGAGGGGCATCCTCGTGGCTCCCTGGCTCGAGCGCCGAGGATGGAAGCCCTCGGGGAAGGCGGCAGTGGTGTGGGTGCTGGCGCTGCGGGATGGGTCCTCGGCCTCTTCAGGCACATCCTCTGGGCCCAGTAAGAAGTTGACGTCCGAGGGCTTGGAGGGGCCAAGTGACTTGGCCGACAGTGACAGCTCGGAGGAGTCCGAGGTCCCCGAGCTGCCCGTAAGGCTCAGGTCCTGCATGGTCAGGCTCTTGACCGGGTCCCTGCCCAGTGTGCCCTCAGGCTGGGCTAGCGCGGCCTCTGACACACTGCGTCGTATTGGTATTGGCTCTGCGGGAGAGGGTCAGGGTCAGGGAGCTGGATGTGACCCATGGGTGGGTGGTGGGAAGGTCATGGGAAGTGGAGTGGTCCCTGGAGGAGGGGCTACACCTAGGGCTTCGGTGGCCTAGGTGTTTCCCAAGGCCCCACCTGCAACCTGAAGGGAGTTGTCCCCCTCTCCCTGATGGGGTGGAGTTTTGTGGCAGGGGAGGGACTTTCTCTGCTGTGGTTGTGTGTATGTGTTGGGGGCACTGTTGTTGTTATTTGCAGTCGAGTCAGCCCTGACTCATAGCGACCCCTCCTTGGGTTTCCTTGGGTTTCCGAGGCAGTATCACTACGGAAGTAGATTGCCCCATTTTCCTTCCGAGGAGTGGCTGGTGGGTCTGAACCGCCAGCTTTTTGGTTAGCAGTCAAGTGCCTTAGGCACTATGCTACCAGAGCTCCTGCTGGGGGGATGGGGGACTACAAAGGTTAAATGCAAGTCAAGTTACCTCTGGGAGCCTGTTTGCTCCTCTGTACATGAGACCTAAGTAGTCCTTACCTCCTAGGAGGTGGTGAGGACTCAGGAGGTAAGGTGTGGGATTCAGTACAGCAAGCCCCAAGGAGGTCCTGATGTCAGTGTTAATGTTTTATTACAGGCTAGGGCCCTGTCCCCCCACCACCAGCTCTTTATGGATTCTTGATACAGCGTGTGAGTTTGCTCGAGAGGAACAGTGAGCAGACCCACAGGCTGGAAAGGAGGCACTTTCGCAGGGAGAGGAGAGAGGCTTGGGGGCGTATGAGACATCAGGGAGCCCTCATCTGTAGCCACATGGATCTGCTCCCCAAATTAGCTCTGTGTTCTTCAGTTTTATCCCTTCCCTTTGAGTGACAGGGCAAGCAGATGCCCGAATGATGCTAAAGATGACCATCTGGCCAGCTTGGTGTGACCACCCTAGCCTCAGCTCTGCTGGCCCATGTGGCCCACGTGGCTTACACTAGGGCCAGAACCCTAAATTTTTCCGTGTTTTCCACTTGTCAAGACACAAGATATGAAAATAACTGCCCAAGGGCATGTGACCCAGGAGGATGTCGATGCCACTGGAACAGGGCTGTTGACAGGAGTCACAGGCCACAGCTAGTCTGGGGTGCTGGAGTCTTCTAAGAGCACTTAGCCATGTGTTGTGCTGGGCACTGGATACCAGTTAGTGTGTGCAGTCGTCACAATAACCCTATGAGGTAGGTCCTCCTTTGCGCCCATTTCACGGAGGAGCACACAGGCTTACGGATCATGCTGCTCGTCCGTGTCCTTTGCTGAACTCATCTCCCTTCCCAGGAGCTCCCTGGGCAGCTTCCCAGCTCCCCGAGGATGCTGCCCCCCACCTACGGCCAGGCATCTCCACTTCCCAAGGCCTGTCCAGTCTTCTGATCTCCCTGCCCAGGGCTCCTAAGCCAGTCCTGGTTGGGGGAGGGGGGATATTATCCCCGTGCCCCTCTGTTAAAAATCAGTGGGAAGATTTAATGAGGGCCAGGACCCTCTCCTGAAGGCCTAAGAGATGGGGTGGGGTTCTTGGAACTGGAAATCGGTACATGAAATCAGGTCTGAGTCGGTTCCCAAGGTGTGGGCCCTTCCTGGGAAAGGCTGCATGGAAAGCCACTCTTGTAGTTCCTGGGACTCAGAGGACCTGGGGGACCAGAAGTCCTAGAAAGGCCAGGATGGGGGCTGTTGCAGAGAGTCAGGGTTTTGTGGTAGGGAGGAAGGATGGATGTAGGGTGGAACCTGGAAGAGCTCTGCTTATCTGTGCGCCCCTCTCCTTGCCCAGGAAACCACTGGGCCGGGCGTCCCACCCTGGATGGGTAAGGGGGAGGACCACACTCACCTGCCGTGGGCACTGAGGGCTTGTGGGACTTGTGCCCACTCAGTTCCAGGAAGGAGTTCAGCCACGAGGAGGCACCCAGGCGGAGGTCTCGCAGGAACAGGGCTGTGTCCCGCCGCACTAGCCCCATCATGCCTAGCGCCTTCTGGTCCGAGTCAGAGTGGTCCTCTGTCTCTGCCCCTGTGGGACGTATGTGGGGGTCAAGGTGGTCGCTCTTTCTGCACTCAATCTCAATACCCAGAGCAACAGACATCCGTGCCCCGAGGGACCTGAGAATATCCTCCTGCTTCAGTAGGAACAAGCAGTCTTAGGTCCCTGTCCCCAGCCCCTTGTCCCTCAGTCCCCCTTGACCCCCCAGCTCCGTGGATGTTGGGCTCACCCGCATAGGCGCTGACACACTTGGAGAGCACACTGAGGGGCAGCAGGGGGTCCATGAGACTCAGGAGGCGAGAAGGGGAGGCAGCGGACTGCAGCATGGTGGCCGGGTAGGCGGCCATGATTCCATCTGGCACCCGCACCCCGTAGGCTGCTGCCCGGAGGGACACTGTGAAGCAGAGGTTACCACCCGCGCTGTCTCCCGCGAGGCATATCCGCTCTCCTGTTGAGCCTGGTTGGAGGGGCATTTAGTCACTGCCAGGCAGGAGCAGGGGCTGGGGAGAGGGCAGGGGGGATCCCAAGCTCCGGGCTAGAACCGGTCTCTCAGGAGTGAGGTGTGGGGTTCCAAAGCTGCATGGTCTAGTGGACTGCAACTTTAGAGACAGGTAAAGCGACCCATTTGGTAGACAGTGGTCGGAGGAGCAGGAAGCCTCAGGACGGGGACAGGGGACAGGCCCAGAGGTCAGGGAGTGTGGGCAGGCGGAAGCAAGGAGGGCGGGGGAGTTGGGGTGGGAAGAGGAGGGGAGCACCAGGGAGATGAGATGTCAGGGTTCAGGCTGTCAGCATGGTGAGGCTGGGCTGCAGGCCCTGTGCCCTGGGGCACGGCCCTGCCTGGCTCTGTGCCTCTGTTTTCTCCTTAGGATGCTGGTAAGTGAAGCCTGCGGTCAGAGGAGCTGGAAGAATGGGCCGGAGCTTGGGCTGGGAGGCTGGCGGTGCGGGACAGCAGGGCTGGGGGAGCAGGGAGGGGAGATGGGCGGGAGGCAGAGAATGGACTAAGAAGTACATGGGAGGTAGAGGAGATGGGGTGTTAGGGCTGGATGGGGGGAGCAGAGGCAGAAGGCTCTAGTGGTTGAGCTGGAAGGTGTGATGACTAATGGGGAACAGGAGGCAGAAGGCTGGGGCAGAGATGGAGGGTCTGGGTGGATAGGAGGCAGAACTGGGTGGCAGGAGATGGAAAGTGAGGAAGGAGAAATGGGGAGGCAGAGAATACAAGACAGGTTGGAGGGACTGGACGGTTCGCTCCTGCAGGACTAGGGAGGGTGGTGTGAAGCAGGGTGAGGTAGGAATCGGGGGCCATGCGGGGCCGGGTGGCAGAATGGATAAGGCCTTTGGCTGCTACCAGGAAGGTCAATGGTTCAAACCCATCAGCCACTCAGCAGAAGATGGGGTGATCTACTTCTGTAAATATTTATTGGCTCAGAAACCCAGTGGGGGTTGCTATGAGTTGTATTGGAGTTGATGGCAGTGAGTTTGTTACTTTGTTTTTATGGGGAAGGATGGCGGTTCAAACCCACCAGCCACTCCTTGGAAGGAAAGTTGGGCATTCTACTTCTGTAGGGATACCACTTCAGAAACCCAAGTAGGGGTGGCTATGAGTTGGGTCCGACTGGACAGCACCTAACAAAGACGACAACGGGGCTCACCAAGGATGGCGCAGTGCTTGACAGCCCAGCAGTAGGCGTAGAAGCACTCCTCCAGGGCACGGGGGAAGGGAGCCTCGGGGGCCAGGGAGTAGTCGATGGAGAGGATGGGGGCGCCCAGCTCCTGAGCCCAGCTCTTGAGGTAGGGCTCATGGGACTTGGAAGTCTGGGCCACAAAGCCGCCACCGTGGATGTGCACCACCAGGTACCTTGAGCGGGGCGCCTGCTGGGGGCGTGGCCACCGCTCCAGGCTCCATGGGCCCTCAGACTTCACCAGGCTGTTGAGCTCCTCACTGTCCTAGGGGGTGAGGAGGGAGGAGGTGGTGAGGTGGGTGGGCCTGGCCCTTGCCCCTCCTCCAGGGGATGTGCTCAGAGACAGGATGGGGCAGGGAAGCAGGAAGGGTTATCGGGTGGACTTGGAGGGGCTGCTTGTACCACCCACCTGTGCACCTGCACCTCTGCTGGGGCCCTACCTGTCCTTCTCTAAGGTCGTAGGAGATGAGCCGGACGAGGACGGGCCCAGGACCCGTGTGGGCCAGTGGGGGTGAGATGGTGACGGTGAGCTTGGGGTCAGCAGCCAGTGGCATGTCAAAGGCTTTGGGAGGCAGGCTGAGGAGGCGGCTGACCCTCACGGTGGCTGATGCCATGTTGGCCAGAGACTGGTGGGAGGGACCAAAAGGGGTGCTGGGTGGGTGGGGGCTGTCTGTGTGGGGGTGCCCCTCACCCACACCTCCCTTCTTGTCCCCAGCCTTTTCCCTCGTGGGCTCTCCCTGGGCCTAGAGCCCTGCAGACCTGCTGTGGCCATGGATGGGTCTCTGGGCCTAAGGCCCCTTTGGGACGTGCCAGGGTCCCTCCTGGGACCCCTTGCTCACCGACAGCACTTCAATCTCTGTGATGTTCCAGAAGGCTTTCCAGAAGTGTACGTCCAAGTTCTGTGTGATCCGCTCAAACTCAGCCCCACGCAGCTCCGGGTCGATGGCAAAGCGGCCACTGGTGAAGAGGGAGCTGGCGGTCACACCTAGGGGTCGGTAGGGGTGTCAGGGAGCCCCGTGTGTGTCAGGCTGCAGGGGCAGGAGGCAGGGCCGGGGCAGGGCTGGGCGGACTCACTGAGGCCCGTCTCGTTGCGCTTGTAGTGCTCCCCGAAGGACACCAGCCCGATGGAGATGGTCTGCAGAAATGGCCGGATGGCTGGCGTGAACTGCGGAGAGACGCGGCTGCATCACCCCCCCGCCCTGCCAGGAGAGGGAGGGGCGGACGGGGCAGAGCTGTGGGGGAGCACGCGCGGAGTGAGCGCCTACTGTGTGCCAGGCCCTGCTGACAGTGCCTCCCCAGAGCTGATGCTCCTGAAGGGAAGACGAGGATGAGGAGACAGACGCATGTCCTACACGCATGTCAAGTAGGGCCGAGTGCCTCGGCGAACAAGGCAGCAGGTGCAGGGCAGACAGTGACAACTGGAGGCCACGCTGCTCAGACGGGGCTCCCAGGAGGGGGCTAGAGGTGGGATCCAGTGAAGGGCAGGAAGAGTTCTACCTGCAGTGGGCACCGCAAGCCCGAGGGCATCGAGGTGGCCGTGCTTGGTGAAGGTCATGAGCAGCAAGGGGCCAGTGTGGTTGGAGCTGAGGGACCGGGGAGGGGGCGGGAGGTGAGGGCAGAGGGGGGCTCACACCAGTCGGGACCTTGGGTGCAGGATGTGGGTTTCATTCCAAGCGTGGGGTGGAGTCACTGGAAGGCTGTGAGCTAGGGTGTCAGGATGGCAGAGTCTCGGGGAGGCAGGGGACGGGGTGGGGGGGGCGAGGCCGGCTGTGGGGCCCGGAAGGCAAAGGAGAGAGGGGCAGAGAGAGACACAAGGACAGAGATCTTGAGGCGGGAGACAGTCAAATGGGGAGACTGTCTGAGGCCGAGAGGCTGACAGACAGCTAGGGAGAGCTACACCAATGGGGAAATGGGGAAAGCGGGACAAAGTCTGAGAAGGGGAGGAGTGATTAAGAAAAGCTCTGGGGAGATGGTATCAGACAAAAAAAAGCCACAGGAGGCTGGGGTGGACAGTGAAGGAAGCTGTGCAACTTCCTTGCATTCAAACAGCAAGCACTGGCCGAGGTCCCACTAGGCACTGGGTGGGGAGCTGGGACTGAGCGGGGGGACGCAGCTGGTGGAGGTCTCTGCCCTCCTGGAGGCTGCTGCCGTTTTAGCGGGGAGGTGGACACCAGGGGTAGGGACACTGTCTGACAACATGGCATGGCAGGGCCCTCAGGAAACAGTGCCAGGCATGGCTCTGTCCCTTAGTGGGGCCCCAGTGGGCCAGAGTGCTAGAGGTGTCAGGTCACTGTGGCTGGGATGCTGGCTCTGGTGGCCCTATGATCACTCTCCTAGGACTCCAAGGTCACGGCTGGACACAGGGAGGGGACTGTTAGCCTCATCAGTGTTTGTGGGGTTGAGCCAGGTGAGGAGGGGTTCCTAGGAAAGGCTGGGCTTGGTCCCTGAGGACAAGCTGGCCGACAGGGAAGCGTGGAGAGGAGGGAGCATGGAGAGGCTGCCAGATTCAGCTGTCACAGGGATGGGGGTTGGGGGAGACCCAGAGAGGGTCAGGAACAGCCACATGTCACCTAGCTTCAGGCTGCAGACTCCCAGCTCCAGATAATTGTACTGCGGTGATGCGCTGTGGGCTCAGAGACCCGGCACTGACCCCAGAGAGAGGAACGTTGGATTTCTGCTCTGTGCCTATGTCCCAAGGGCCCCCAGCTCTCTGAGTCTTCCAGCCACTTCCCACACTAGTCTGAGGGTCACTGGACCTCGTGGCCTGGCCCCACTTTCAATGCTGAGATGAGCTGGATCTCAGAGGGTTGTGTGAGGCGGATGGAAGGGCAGAGAGAGTCTGAAGCTGGGGGACAGGCTGCCTGGCCCCTGTCTTCCTCAGTGTCACCAAGTCTGACAGGCTCCTTGGTGACACCCTGCGCAGCCCTCCTTCCCAGCCTGAAAATCCCATGGTTACACAGGGCTTCCGGTGAGCCAGCCCAGGCAGCGCTGGGTCCCGGAACCCCAGCTGTGGGCACCTCCACTTGAACCTCCCTGCTCTTCTATTAAGTGGGATAGGACCGCCCTTCCCTCCCCAGACTTCAGTGGGGATGACTGCAAGAGCCCACCTTAAGGAGCTCTGGTGGCATAGTGCCTAAGGCATTTGACTGCTAACCAGAAACTTGGTGGTTGAAACCCACCAGCTACTACTCCATGGAAGGAAGACTGGGCAATCTACTTCCATAAGAATTTACACTTCGGAAACCCAAAGGGGGTCGCTATGAGTTGGAATCGACTCAATGGAGTGAGTTTGGTTTGATTTTTTTGGAGGGGTCTCAAACTCAAATGACTTGAGGGGCCAGGCAGGTAACATATAAAAGCGAGCCAATCTCCTGAGTGTATGACAATACAAAGTAAGTGGGATCATGATTGGAAAAAAAGCTCCCTAAGTTAAAACTTTCTTACTACAGTTAGAGCCGGGAGAGGCCGCTTTGCTGGGACTGCCTTGTCTTTTGGCAGTTTCTGCTTTTGACAGGGTGTACAGTCTGACCACTTTTCTCTTGGTCTCTATCAGTGGAAAACATTTGAGTTTTCCTTCTCTGATAGGATCCTGCCTTACACAGGTTCCAGCTTCTGCAGGTCTTACTGTACAAGGTCAGTTCAGCCCATGGGCCATGAGTTTGAGACCCCGGTGCAGCTTGCTTTGAGCCCCCCAGCTTCCCTTTTCTGTACCTGCTGTTTTCGGATTCCAGTCATCCTGACCACTGGGGTCATTCTGTGCTATTCAACAGGGTTAGGGGCCACCAGGTGCCTGTACCCTGGGCCTAGAGGGGCTCACCTGGAAGCCCAGGCAGCGGCCATAGAAACAGCCCTTGTGCAGTGTGACGTATTCACGCAGGAAATCGGCCGTGAGCCCCTCATCACCCTCGAAGAAGAGTCCCCCCGGCTGGTTGGTGGCCAGCAGGCGCTGGGCGTAGTACGCTAGAGCGCGGAGCTGGGTGAGGGCAGCCAGGTAGGCCTCCAGTTCAGCCAGGTTGTGCCCAGCGCGGAAGAAGATGCTGCGGCGGTTAGAGGCCACGTAGCGTGACTTGTGCAGCAGGTGTGCCAGGCAGCAGCGGGCCGTGTGCACGAGGCTACGATACCCATTGGCCGGAGTCTCTGAGTCCAGGTCGAAGAGGTGCGCCACGCCCAGCAGGCGGCTCAGGGCTGGCTCCAGCCCCAGCGCCTGCTCCCGCACACCTGCGAAGACACGCAACAGCCGCCGTGCGGTCTCCCCAGGGCCCTGGCTGGAGAAGAAAGCCATGTTGTCCTCTGCCAGCGTCACCAGCGACTGTGTCATGGTGTGCAGGTCCATGCTGTGCATCTGCCTAGAGGCTGCGGGCAGGTGGGGAGGCCTGTTAGGCAGGCCTGGACTATCCCTGACTCAGACGAGCCCAGGAGTCCAGCCCCCAGCCCCTCCTCCCTCAGACCCACGAGGTCACCCTCTTGTCTCCAGGACTTAGGAGTATGCGGTGCCATCCTCTTCTTCCCTCCGGACTCATGAGTCCTGGTCCCACTACCCTTCTTCCTCCTCAGGACCCAGAATTGAGCTCTCAGCCCCTTTCTCTCTACGACCTAGCGGTCTAGGCCCCGGCCACTCCTCTTCAGGATCCAGGAGTTCCTGCTCTCTCCTGTTGGGGAGCTGCTGTCCCTGGCCTTCTTCCCGCTCTTGGACCCAGGAGTCCAGGCGTTGTCCTCAGCTTCCGAGATCTGGTTCCCTAGCTTCAGCATCTCTCCTGTGACCCAGAGTCTGCCTGCTCCTCTTTCTTCCTCTCGGGGACCCAAGAGTTCAGGCATCTCTCCCCACTGACTCTCCTAGGGCCCAGGAATCCAGAACTCCTTGGTTCTGAGATGTTTGGCCCTCGCTCCTAGCTGGTCTGTCTTAGGACTCAGGAATTTAGGCCCACCCATTCCCATCCACCTGGTTGTGCCCCAGGACCTGGTTCCCAAGCCCAACTCCTTTCTTGAACCTAGGAGTTGATAAGTGCCCCTTACTTAAAACTGAGTAGTGAGGCCTGCCTGTCCCTTCCTAGTCCCCCAAGTCTGGCTGTGTAACCCCATCTGGACTCCAGCTCCTTCCTTGCTCGTCTGTGGGGTCCTAAAAACTCAGTCCTGCTCCTCCCCCGGCAGGTCTCCTGGCCTTCGGGCCTGTCCACTTGTCTTAGATTGCATGAGCCGGCCCTGCTCCCTGACCTGAATGGCGTATTCATTGCTGCTGTTGACCTTGAACTTCTTCCATGCCAGACCCCTTGCTGAGAGCTTTCATTTAGTCCTCACTAACCTACTGAGACCCAGACTGCCCAGGTTCAAATCTCAACTATTATTATTGCCGGCATCCCCATTTCAGAGGCGTGGAATCAGGTTCCGAGAGTTAAGTAGGAGTCGGGGGTTGTGTGGAAAGTGGCAGAGTCAAAACCGAACCCAGATCTCTGGGTCCAGAGCTGTGACTTACATGGGCCTCTCTCTGGACTCTCCCTCAGAAACCTTGCCCTGAGCCTGCCTGACTTCCCGTCCTACCCTGTTTCTTAGATGCTGGTACTCAGATCCCGAAAGGCCCCTGCCCTTTTGGGGGGATGCCACCCTCTGCCCAGAATTCTCCCTCCCCGAGCCCAGTGCCTGGCCAGGGCTCCTGCGCTCCTCTCGGTGTCGGCCTTGGGGTCTGGCTGTGGCTGCTCCTGTCTCGGCTGGCCGTGCACTCACCCCTCCCAGGCCTCTTCCAAGCTCCCGGGGCCTGGGACTGCTGGACTGTGGCTAGTGTCAGCAGCAGCCTGGGGCGATAAACCAGGAGGAGGGGCCTTGTCCAGGGTGTGGCCACCCTCTCTCCACCTCCCACCCAGAAAGGACAGGGAGAACCACGTGCTGTCAACAGCACAGAGCCCAACTCCCTGCCCCCTCAGCCTGCTCCCAGCTCCAGCTCGGCTGGGAGGCCTTGCCCAGAAACTTCTGCCTTAGAACCTGGAAGTCCAGGCCCCCAGCCCTCTCTTCCCTCAGACCCAGGAGTCCAGGCCCCCAGCCCCCTCCTTCTCAGGACCCTAGAGTCTAGGCCCCAGCTACCTCCCCAGGACCCTGAAGTCCCTGGCCCCCTCTTCCCTCAGACCCAGACTCCAGGGCCCCAGCCCCGCCCCCTCAGACCCAAGAGTCCCAGACTAACCCTGAACAAACTGTCCCCTCTCACTTAGCCAGGCAGCCCTCCCTCTTCCCAGAGTGGATTCAGGGAGCCAAAGGCCCTGTGACCTCAGCTCCCGCCCCCCAGGCTCGCCTGGCACAGCCAGCCCCAGCTGTTGGGGGGAGAGGGAGAGTAGCCACCCTGCTTGTCCCTCCTGTGAGGACAAAAGCCGATTACTGGCAGTGCCAGGCTCAGAGGCTGGGCTATGGCTGGGGACCTGAGCCTCGGGTCCTACTGTGTGCTGTCCCCCTACCAGGTACCCTGCTGCACCTGCCACTCACCCTTCACAGCTCATCCTGCTGTGACTGTCACCCCCACCTCCCATATGGGGAACACGCACCTACGGGTCACTCTGCAGGCTTCTTGCCTGGCCCGTTTATTCTCATCCTTCAGGCCTCCCTAAGGCACTCCTTCCCTGCTCGTCCCCACCTAAGACAAGTGCCCCTCTTCCCCATTATTTTCTGCGATAATACATCTCCTTCCTATGCATTTTGCCATTATACATTTGTTTACATGTCTGCTATCTGCCCCCAGGGGAAGAACCAGGTTTTATGGTAGTGTGAAGCTTATACGGTGCAGGGGGTGGGGCTATTCAGGAAAATAACATGTTGCCAAGTGACTCCTACTCCTAGTGAGCCTGCAGGACAGGGTGGAACTACACCAAAGGGTTTCCAAGTGTGTACAAACCCACTCCTTGGAAGGAAGGCTGGGCAATTACTTCCACAGAGACACTGCCTCAGAAACCCAAGGAAGGGTCGCTTTGAGTCGGGCCGACTCCACAGCACATAACAACAACAAATCTGTCCTGAAAGAAGTGCAGTCAGAACGTCCCGTGGAAGCGAGAATGGCCAGACTTGGTCTCACCTACTTTGCTCATGTTGTCAGAAGGGACCATTCCTTGGAGAAGGGTATTATTCTTGGTAAAGAGGAGGGTCAGTGAAAAAGGAGAAGGCCTCCACGAGCTGGACTGACACAGTGCCTGCAAGGACAGGCTCAAACATAGCAAGGACTGTGGGGACGGCATAGCACTGGGCAGTGTTTCGTTCTGTTGTCCGCAGGGCAGCTGTGGGTCAGAGCCGACTGGACGGCACCGAACAGTAACAACAATCTTTACGGGAGCAGACTGCCACGTCTCTTCCCTGTGGAGCAGCTGGTGGTTAGCGGTGGGGCGTTTAAAACTACAAAATTAATGCTCAACAACCACAACTACAAAATAAATAAAATCATATATAAAAAAAAAATTCAAAATTACGTACAGAGCCTTGGAAGGAATCTGTGCTAAAGGGCAGCCTGGAAGCCTCAGTTTATACATGTATGTGCCCACACAAACTCAACAGGCTGAGAGAAATAGACACACACAGATACCACTCACAGAGAAACATACATGCAGACACAGACCTATAAATACATATATGTGTTTGCTGGGCTGTAGGTGAATCCTCTGTTCTCCCCCCTCGAATGTTACGCCGTGTGGGCAGGGGATGGCCTCAGGGCCCATAGTAGGTGCTCAGCAAACGTGTGCTGAAGGAAGCAAGGCAGGAGGGGCAGGACGGGTGGATGGGAGCCTGGGAGATGACTACCCGTCCCCAGGGCAGATCAACAGGTGGATGGATGGCCAGATGAGGCCTTGGACAGCGGCTCCATGCTTGCTGCTGTAACTCTGGGACAGCTGGCCCATGCCATGCACTGGGAGATCCTGGGTGAGGCCAGTTTCCTCGTCTAAAAACACCCAACCAAACTCACTGCCATCAAGTCGATTCTGACTCAAAGTGACCCCTTTTGGGTTTCTGAGGCAGTAAATCTTTATGGATGTAGATTGCCCAGTCGTCCTTCTGTGGAGTGGCTGGTGAGTTTGAACTGCCAACCTTCTGGTTAGCAGTCAAACGCCTTAGGCACCATGCCACCAGAGCTCCTTCATCTGGAAACTCTCATGGGGCTGAGGGCAGGCCAGGCGCTTCGTGAGGAGCACGTCAAGGACAGTGCTTTCTGCACGTGGTCTGCTTTGCGGGGCTTCTTCCGCCCCGCTGACAGGAGTCCTGTATTGGGTTATTTCCTAGGCAGCACTTACCACCTTCTGGTTAGCAGTCATGCCTGAGGCCCTGCGCTGCCAGGGTACGCCCCTTCTAACATGCTGTTCTTTGACTCTTTAGTTGTCTGCGCTCAGTCTCCCCAGCTAGGTGACAGGCTCCCTGAGAGCAGAGGCATGTGTCTCCTTACTTCACTGCTGCAGCTCCTGCCCTTGCTCAATGCCTGGCACATGCTGGTGCTTGGTAAGTACTTACTGCATGGGCTGACTTGAGGCCCCCTTTTGTAAACCCAAGGAGCTCTGGTGGCACAGTGCCTAAGGCATCTGACTGCTAACCAGAAGATTAGCGGTTCACACCCACCAGCCGCTCCATGGAAGGAAGATGGGGCAGTTTACTTCTGTGAAGATTTACCACCTCGGAAACCCAATGGGGGTCACTATGAGTTGGAATCGCCTTGGTGACAGTGAGTTTGGTTTTGGTTTGGTTTATAAACCCAGGTTGGTTGACCTCCCGTCTACGGGGCAGGCGTCGTTATTAGACGCCAGAGAAGAGAGCTCACACACAACAAGGAACTGGCACAGAGCCCTGGGGAAGGGACTGGATTCCAGGGTCTCCTGGCTCCATGGCCGGGCCCTTTGCCCTGTTCCAGGCGACTCCCTGGGGTGCCGGGCTGGGTGGAGCTGGGAGGAAAGGGTGCTGAGCTGGCCAGAAGCTCGCCAGGAATCCCAGGCAGAGGGCACTGGGGTAGGGACAGGCCCACTGGGGCCCTGGGCGAGGACTGGGGCAGAGGTAAGGCCGAGGGGCCTACACCGAGGGAGCTGGACTGGGGGAGTGCCACTGACGGGGCACCAGCCCTTTGTCCCACAGAGCAACAGGCCTCCAGACCCTGCCTGGACTTAGGCCCCTGGGGCCTGGGCAGCGGTGAGGAGGGCAGTGGGGAAGGAAGGAAGAGGAAGGAGGAGAGCTAGGTCTGGGCCTCGGAAAGGGGCAAGGGCTTCTGAAAGGGGGTTCTGGGGAGTGATGCTGGTGGCGGCCAAGTGAGTGGGCCCTCTCCCTGTGTCTTTGTGGCTGTTGTGCCTTTGCAGAAAAGAGCAAACACGGCTATTCCGACCCCTGTGTGCCCAGCACTGTTCTCTTCGTGA